GGGGCTAAGGAAATGCTTATCTCCCCGAGCGCGGCCTTCATCAAACCATTCCATCACAGCACATTATCTATAAGTTCCCAAAATTTGGAGTTTGTTCAAGGACACTATACAGAAGAACCATGCAACAATGGTTGCTAATACCTGTAGTGTGTTTTGGAGAGTGAACCTAACTTACATAAAATCTTTGCAAAGTGATTGGCTAGAGCCACTTCCTCACTAAAACTTTATAGCATTTTACAGTGTCACTCAGACACACTTGTGGCAAAATAATGTCTATGTTTATTACTTCTCTGTGCATACCTATATGGTTGAATGGCAAATCATGAGTGAGGAAATCACCTAGTCAGACATTCCCAAAATGATGCTGTCCAGTAAAGGTATTGCAATATAAGCAAGAATAATGTCTTATGTGACATTGCGTGAAAGACACAAATCACATGTTTGCCTCAATTGCACACTGATGTCATGGTGCATGTGATGTCACTTGCTCCCTCTTGTGAATGCCCATGCCTTCCAGATGTGTCAAATTACAGCTCCTATTATCTCTTGGTATCTTCAGGAATACCATGCCAAGGAAAGCTTAAGTACTATGATCTGCACTTGATGTAAAAATTTACAAAACTATGTCTGGGTCTAAGAATGTGTCCTTCATTTTCAAATTTCTTTTCAAGATTTCATTGGGATTCTATATAGCTGAATTGGCATATATTAGAGATAACTATTTACCTACATAATTTCCTCTTTAAAGATATTATTTCATAGAAAATTGTGATTGAATGCAACACATTCAAAAGAATTATACTAACCTGTGAAGTATCTGTAGATGGGTTAACTTCCTTACCACTCACAGCAGAATTTGTATTTGCAGAAGCTGCTCCTGGAACCTCTGTCTTCTTGACATTCACTTCTACAGGAACGGAAGGCCCTACCTGCCTATTTTCGGTCAATGGGGCTGGATTTGAATTGCTTGTTTGTCGTGGTGGTGCTTTATACCAACTAGGATAGAACAAGGGATCAGATGGCTCTCCATTTGACTGTGGTCCAGTTTCTACTAGTCCTGCAGGCTGTTGTGTAGTAGTATGCACAATTTCATCCTTAGTAGGATAGATTAAAGAAAAGAAAAAAATAGAATGCAAATGATTTGATGTGCTTTTCCCTTCTCCATCTTTCTCCATCTTTCTCTCTGAAAGGGCAGCATCATGAGTCCTCATTTTCAAGTGGCATTAAAACATATATTTTAGTTTTCTACATTTGGTATTAAGAACTATGCTTATTGATTACTGAAAAGTGGAGCAGAGCATGCTGGCTGGGGAATTCTGGGAGTTGAAGTCTACCCATCTTAAACTCGGCAAGGTTGAGAAACACTGATTTATGCAGAAGGCCATCCCTCTTGCTCCAGATGAGGTTTCCAGTTTTCACTGATCTCTTTACCTACTGCGACCTTCTTCTGGGTGCACTCAGAATATGTTTTCCCAGAATTAGCAGAGAGCATGAAAATTCTGGGGGTTGTAGACCAGCACACTCAAAGTGCAGCAGTTTGGGAAAGGATGACCTAATGAATTTTCATGTTTAATCAATAAATGGATTAACAAAGCAATAAAATATTTAACATAATTGATGTGAGAAGAATATTTACCTGTTTTGCTGAAGTAGGAGTATTAACTAGTGGTAGAGAAGGTAATGATGGTACTGGTTTAGTCTGAGATACTGCTAGTGTGTCTTTCAACACAATACCCTGCTGAAGTTGCTGAGATGATGCTTGTTCAGATATTTCATCTTCTTCACCTGATGATTCAGTGCGGACTTCATCCTGTTCTTTCCCTTCTGTGGCATCTTCCTCCTCCTCTTCCTCCTCTTCTATTGTAACGTGAAGAGGAAATACACAAATTGGTTTCTTCTAAAATAAAATTTATTAATAGAGAACCTTTGGTTCTAAAGGTTCTGGTTTATCCTTTTCTCAGCAGGAATATTTGTCTCTGACCCTATTAAAGGAATTGTATTCTATCAAGAAAAAACAGCCAGCACTCTGACCAGAATAGTAGATTTGTATCAGTTTCCGTTCATAGATGTTTCTCTCAACACATAATAAAATTAACAACTTGTTTTTCTGTGAAACCTTCCCAAAGGACTTTGAGATTTCCTAGAATGGTTAGCACATTGCTTTTTTTGGAAGCAGAAACTGTTTGCCTAATAATCAGAACAGAATAAAGGAGTTAGCTTATCTAGAGAGTGGGAAAACTATCACAGCAGGCTTTTGATTTTCACTTCTGAGTCCTTTGATTTGTCATTGAGTCCTTTATTCCCAGCAAAACTGAGAAGTGCAATTACGGCCAGGATATGGACATTGCTCAGCAGAAGACATAGATACTTATGGATAGATATTTTCATGTGAGGCGCCATTTATTAACTATTGCAATTTTATGTTAGTTAAAATGAAAAAAAAAGTCTCAAATGGAACAATCTAAATAAATTAGTCATTTGGGGTTACCAAGTGTATCAAGAACATATGCTTATAACATTTGTATATAAAAAAGGGGAATGATTCCCTTTGCCCCCAAACTTTCTCTGCTGTACGTATGTAAACAATCCCCCTCCCAATCTGCCTCATGTTTATGCTGAAATTTATATTGAGGAATATTACTTTACAGCAATATAATGTAGCAATTAAAAATGCTAAAGATTTTAAACATTTAACATAAAATGCTAACAACTAGGCTGATCACATGATTTTGTACACTATTGGATCAAGGATTTTAAATTAAATGGCATACTATGATAAATATGATAAGTTATGAAGCATGTGATTATCTCAGAAAAGATTTGAAATGTTAGTATACAGTAGCTTTGTGTCTTTGATAGGGTATTCTGAACTCAGTGTGTAAATGACTTTTTACATTTTAAATTCTGGGTCCAGCTTCACCTTTCTGGTAGTAATCATCCCAATAAAAGCACAAAATACCAAGTTCTGATAAATGATGGTTTATAAAGAACTACCTGTGAAGAGGTATGACATTATAAAGGCTTCATGAAATCAATAGGTTAAAGAAGATCTACTGAATAGACTATTTTAGGGGTTCTCAAACTTGAAGGGAGTCACACTTGCTCCTGCTCTTCCTGGATGCAGGTGACTTTCACCAAGCTATTGGCACTAGACTTAGATGTGTGTAGGATCCCAAGGTGACTCCCCTCAAATTTGAGAATTGCTAGAATAATTTGCATAATTTGTCAAAGCCACAGCTCCTGCGAAACACCAACCCACAGAAGTCATTGCTGCAAGGACAAAGGCCACTGAAGTAAAGTTCAACCCTGAGAATGAGTTCTGACAGAGAATCAACTTTCTCTGATAGCTGGATCTCTGCCAGACTGCAATCACTTTCTGTCTGGACAAACTAACAGCCAGCTGGTCCAGGCAAAAGCTCTGACTGAATGCGTACAGAGGTAAGGGGTCACACAAATGCGTTATTTTAGGATGTCACAACACTACAGAATTTAATGACCTCTGGACTACTCCCATTCTATTGGCTATATATTTTTTAATATTTCTGTGAACAATGTTTCTAATTCAACTTATCTTGATGGAAAAGTTGCCTTTCTACATTGATTGAAGATAGCCAGAACAAATCCATCATTTGGATAGAAATAGTTGTCTACAGGTTTGTCTCTCACTCTGCATTTACCACTACATTTATGAATACAACAAGGTACTAGTAGAGAATGAGAAGTTTTTAATTATCAAAAAGTTTTCAGTAAAGTTTCATGAACCTTGACTATCAACAAAATTGGCATTCTTTCTTTACAATTACTATGTAAAATACACATACATGCTCACAGACACATATATGCACACACATGCATGTATACACACACACACACACAACCATAAACCCCCCAAATTTCCTACTAAATAACAGTAATTAAAATCTTTTGGGTTAATAAACACACATAATCAAGCCCTATTTTTTGTCACATAATGTAAACACCTTTTTTCAAGGAAATGTTCTGTCATGAATCACTATTGGTAATCACTGCTAAGGTTCTGCTAGTCATATAAACAGGTCAGACAGAGGTTAATAGCTTTGATATATACAGAATGTTGGAATCTTGAAAAATATACAACACTAATACCAAAGCTCAGATTCTATGAAAAAAACATATTTTTTCAGCATGCTATCTTAGTCTTCATGAGTTTACTTTTGATTATTAGACATGTAAAATGTCTCTTTCATATTTGTAGAATGTCAAAAAGGTCTTTCCATTATATTTGTGACAGGATGTTTTCACAAAAACTGTATACTTCACAGCTAAAAAGGAAAATAAGCTTTAAGAAAAGGGAAGCCTACCTCTGTAAAAGTAAATTTCTTTTATTATCTTTTCTTCTCTATTAAGGTTGACTCTGAAGTGGCTCATATTTTCATAGCCTTTCTCTATTTTTTCCCTCTGAAATGCTTTAGAAGCTTCAGTAATTCTAAAATAGAAACACCATTGTGTCATCTGCATTATTTTGCAACTGAACAGTTTGGAATTGTCGGCTTATGATGAATATGGAAACACATGTTTACTTACTTTTGTAGCAATGCTTTAGCATTCTGTGAAAAACAAAATATAGCCAATAAAATAAATTATTTCATAACTTGTTTCTTGTCTTTTCAGGTGTATAGATTTTAGGTTAATTCAAATGTAAAATGTTAAAATATACATTTAACAAATATAATAGCTGGAATTCTAACCATAACAAGACATTCCACCAAGGTTATACCAAAGTGGGTCCTTGGGGTGATCCACACTAGAAGGTATATGTTGATCCAGAAATACATTTTAACTGTTAATTTCTATAGGCCACATTGGGGAACAAGGGACCCTCTTGATGTTGTTACATTACAACTTCCAGCAACTATGGTCAGTATGGCCACAATGGAAGTTAAGAGTTATAATCTGGCAACATCTAAATAATCACATGTTTCCCATCCCTGACATAAGCACATGGATGCACACACTCCTGAAATCATGCCCATATAGGTTATGGGCTGCTACTGTTTGTCCTGTCTGCTACATCACAGCCTGAACATTTAGTTCAATGCAGAATGAAGAGTCATTCTGTTCCTCGGGTTAAGCAATAACATAGGCCAACTGATATTCCAAATTGCTCTGTAGCTGTGATTCTTGCTACTTTTGCACTATCAAGTAATGAATGAGATACGAATCAATTATTAGCTGATAAGAGTATTTCATAAAGGAACAAGATAAGTGCATTTTTACATTAGGAAATACAGTACCAGGATATTTATATTCCATTTACCTGATGTACTTAACATAATGGATTACCAAACTCTTACTCTGTGGCATTGGAGAGTTCCCAGCTAAAACTAAAGATATAAAATACTATCTGTCATCTCTTTGTAAAACTTTCAGGTAGGAACTTGGATGTAGGAATCATAATCTTCATAAAGTGGGAAGTTCTAGTTAAATATGAATCATTTGATTATGCAGATTGGAATATAAACTGTTATCCGAAGCAAATTATATAATCTATTAAGATTAAAATTTAAATTTACACCTACCTTTGGGTCACATTAACATAAAATTTACATAAAATTTTAAAACATAAAATAGTCTGTTTAACCATTTTCTCCCAGATTAAGAAAATAATAAAGATTCTATATGCAGTGTGCAAAAATGCAATTTTCAGACTGAATATGGAAAACTACCAGGTAGATAGATACTCTAGAAAACTTACATCTGAGTAGTATATGATGGACACTAAAATGGTACTTTCCATTCAATTCTAAGAAAAAGACATTTTCTTCTGAGAGGTTTGTACACATAGTGCAAGGGAAGGCTTAATTAGAAGTTGCATAATGTTATATTCTCATTTTTAAAAAATTTTCTACAACATACCTGTAAAAATACAGCCATTTCTGGCTCTTCCATAAACTGGATACCTGATTCCACCAGTTTTGACACTGTCTCTAAGTGGTCTGCATACTTTTTTATCAGAGACCGGACATGTTCCAATTTCTCCTCTTGGCTCCGAGTGATTATTTGTGTCATCTCACTTTTTCTTTCTTCCAATATTGAGTATAAATAATCAAATTTTTCACATAGTTGTTCCTTCTGCCTTTTGCAGCATTCCTGTGAAA